AATAGCAATTTCGGCTTATCAAAAAGCACGGCTGTCGTTCTATTTTTATTTTTGCCTGTAGAAGCAAAATAAATATTTTAAAATTTATTAACCTACTAATGTAATCTTTTAATTAAGTATCAAATACATATAAACACTGTTTATTGGCTTGTCTACTTATATTGCATCTAATTGTAGATAGGACCTCAATTTAAATTTAAAAAATTGTTTCTTATAACGAAAAAAATTAGCCCACTAAATATTCCTATTTTAAATTGTTTTTTTTTTATCGTAAAGCATTTAGGCGCTGGTTAAAAACAGTTTAACAGTTTGTCGATAAACAGTCTGACAGTTTGACAGTTTGCCAATAAGCTGTAATTGCTATGAAAGGTATTTTATATTTTCACAATATAACATTTAAATATAAAAACTACATGTAAAAAATAAAATTCAAAGATAATAAGATAATGAGATTTGGAAGATCTGGAATTAACATCACGTCATCACACACTTATCGTATGGTATAAAATTCGTTGTAAGAGATTACAAAGAAAAGTTATTGTTGAAATCAAGTCAATTAAAAATAGAGAAATAAAAAAAGAAACCTAAATGAAATTAAAGAGTTTACAATGTATTTGTATTCTTTTTGACAGGCGTTCCACATTTTAGGCCCTCAATATGCTATACAATATTGTGAAAGTTTCATTTTGTGGCAATTCATAAGTGTTGTTTACATTTGATAACCTTTTCATAAGGTTTAAAAACAAATCATATTATTAAAGTTTATTTGGTTTTAGTTTATTTAAATATCAAACATATTATTAAAGTTTATTTGGCAAGAAGCTGTTGTAAAACCTAAACATAAAAATTAAATGCTAATTGACATTCCTTTGGAATACATTCATCACCTTTATATCTTTAATAAAAGATTTTTTATGATCACATTTATGATTAGAGAAAATAATTCTGCAAAGGTGTTTTTGTAGTCCATAAACCTTTTAATATTTTATTTTTTGCGTACTTGCTTATGATACTTTGATAATATAGTAAATTAGATAAAAATATATTAATTTAAAATTTTGCATATTAACGTATTCAAACCAAGAGTTTTGGTAGTTTTTGACTGAATATATTTTATTTGGGGGTAGGAGGGGGGCTCGGGAATCAGTATGAAATTCGATCAATAAAAAGGGTAGCAGTAACAGTATCAAAAACAGCCAAACTGATTAATCTCGAAAATGGAATTTCCAGAATAACATCGAAATAGAGAATAACATCGAAATTGTAAAAAAAGGAATTGTATCGAAAGTCCGAAAAATAGAATAACCTCGAAATTGTGAAAAAAGGAATAATATCGAAAAGGGACTTTTCGGAATAATATCGAAAAAGAAAACATTTTAAACTTGTTAAAAAAGGATTAGTATCGAAAATCCTAAAAGCAGAATAATCTCAAAACAGCTCAAAAGAGAATAATATTGAAAAAAGACTTACGGAACAATATCGAAAGTGTGAATAAAGGAATAGTATCGAAATTTCAAAAAACGGAATTAGATCGAAATTGTAAAAAAAGGAACAATATCGAAACGGGACTTTCCGGAATTATATCGAAACTGTAAAGAAAGGAATAAAATCGAAAAAGGACTTTCCAGAATAATATCGAAAAGGTGAATTTTGATAATAGGTTTGAAAATTCCAAAAGCAGAATAAATAGACGGCAGTTTTTTTGCGGTTTTTTGCGGTTTTTAATTAAAGTGTAGTAATTACGCTGTATAATTGTATAATATAAATAAAAAGCTTTATTAGTAGAACAAAAAATATTGAATGTTGTGTTGTTGGCTATTTATAAAACGATTCAAAACAAAATTTATTGATTTTATTTACAGTAGGCACTTCATACGATTTTACTATTACAACTATCTCTTGTTATAATTAATACCATTATATGCGGATAATGAAGAAGCTTTCAGAATGTGTTCATTTTTTAAATTTGGATAACTGGTTCCCAAGTTATGACAATCTATGTTGGGCTCAATAATACCTATTTGGCGTCAAGATTTGTTGAGTTTTTCTTAAGGAATTATGGCACTAAATTTTGATAATAAATTTATTTTTCATATGCTATCAAGAAGGAGTTTCATTGAAGTACTTATGCTGAATTATTTTTATACTTTTTTACTAAAGCATTCAATTCTACAAATTATCATTCTCATATTAGGGGAGCCTAGGTAAGAATTCCACTCCTCGTTTACCCATTTGGGGCAATTGGATCAAAAGCTATAAAAGCTTCGTTTAAACAGTAAAAATTAACTTTAGATAAAGAAATAGAGTTTTTTCAAACGGTCAGGGTAAACAAATTTATTAACATTTATAAATAACAAGAAAATAGGTAAAAATATTAAGTCTAATTTCTCCTACAGAACTTTGATTGTTCTTGGCCCAATCGCCCATTCAGGACAACATGGTAAAAATGTAAAAATACACAAAGCCCGTTTTCCCATTTTGGGGCAAATTGGCCCAAGAGTAAAAAAAACTCTGTTAAAACTATAACAATTAACTCAAGTTAAAGAAAAAGACCTTTTTCAAACTGTCAGAGTAAAGATTCATTTACATTTGTAAATATCAAGAATATAATGTAAAAATCTAAGAAGAAACAATTTTCTCATTTAGGGCCGGGAGCCATGACGTTAAACTTATAAAAATAAGCAAAAAAAAAATTCTGAAAATTTTTTAGTAATAGCTCAAACCCTAAATAAGTAAAATTTGAACTGTATTTTATGAAGTACACCACCAATTTTATGAAATATCATGCAAATAGTTTTGTCGTTAACATGGAAATATGAACGAAGACTCACATTATACCCGAACTTTGTCATATTTTAATTTTATGCGTTGCAACGCGTTAAAGCGAAGTATGATAAAACTCACAAATCCATGTTAATGACAAAACTATGAACATAATATTTCACAAAAGTGGTGGTGCACTTCATAAAAAACAGTTCAAACTTCACTTTTTTTCAAGCTTCTTTATCCGCTTAAATTGTAAATCAAATCCAAGTGACGCAGTTATATATAATGTTATTTATCATTTGCAACAACAATGTTGTTTTTATCATAAATAACGTGTTGTATCTTAGAAATATTAGTGACATCTTTTGGAAATAATAAAAAAGTTCGCCTTTGTTTAAATGCTTGAAAACATTTGCCCTTTAGTGATTTTTTAACAAAATGATTTTAGGCCCACTGCACAGTGGGCCAGAAACATGAAAAAGTGATCAAAATTAATAACTACATATAAAATCAATTTAACAATATTAACATTATAAAATCAATTTAACGATAATTATATTAACTAAAACATAATATTACAACCATTTAAATTTTCTTCAGGTTACTCACTTTCAAAAAAGATTAAAAAATTTTTGAATTGTTATAGGTTGGTTTTGCTCATTTTTTTAATTTTTGCTCACTGCTGGCCCACTGTGCACTCCTTCAATGTTAACTATTTTATATAAGCAAAACATAAAATTCCAAAAAGAACTATTAAACACTTACTTTATAAAAAAAAAAATCGTCCTTACTACAAATTCTGAAAGAGGGGGAGGGAAAATGCCTCCTTGACCCCTCCCCCTATGACGTAGCCAATGTAGACATACCCCCATGTTGTAGCCCATGTTCAATTATACTTGTTAATATATTATTCGCAAATTATATTGATAAAAAATTTTGTAAGGCATTTTAGGAAACTCGACTAACTTGAAGAGTTATTAGTATATATATTAGTAAATAAAATATATGAAGTTTATGTAAGCAAAACATAAAATTCCAAAAAGAACTATTAAACACTTACTTTACAAAAAAAAAATTATCAAAATATGTTAGTGAATAAAATATTTGAATTTACTAATCTTCTAACAATTTATTTTATGTATAAAAGGTTATTGATTGAACTTTTTATAAAAAGTACAATCAATAACCTTCTATAAATATACAAGCCCATATCGTAAAGATTTTGAGGTTAGGTTGGTCGTTTCGGAGAAAATTGTGGTCAAGAATAGAAAATCTTAATTAATTTTTATAACGTGAAACTAAGAGCATTTGGTCAAAAAAAAGATGTCAATCGCTCACGATTATCTCCTCTCTTTCCCCACCCCTACCAACAGTAAGGACGTGATAAATTTAATAGAAACTAGCTTTTAATAGAAAATTTATATCAATAGCAACTCTTTAAACAAAATGCATATTTATTATAAAGCAAGTTAAGGATGAAAAATCCTTTTTTATAGCTGTTTTGTGCTGGTCTGTAAAATCTGGGTCTGTGTTTTATATAATCTATAAAGTCTTATATCTTGGAAAGGAAATATTTTCAGCATATGGTTTTCACATACTTTTTGACGAGCTCTTTCCAATTATATAGTTTTTTGTTTAATTTCTATATATTTTTTTCCTGACTCTAACAAGTTATGATCCCGGCCAAAAATTTTTTAGCACTCGTTTTCTTCTTCTTAGTTTTAACCTAGTTAAACAAGTTAAAAGCTAGCTAGACAAGTTAAAACCTAGTTAAAAAAAGTTAAAAGGAAAAAGTTGCTTCTAACACGCTTGTGCACACGAAAGTGCTAATCGTAACATAGTAACCCTCACGATAAGTCTTTTGTTGATACTGTCACTTGCTTCAAGGAAACTTATTTAATTTTGCTAGACAAGCAGCTGTAGAATTTTATGCTACATTTATCTATACAATAACTTTAACATGTAAATGACTATTGTTTCTAGGGTGATGGAATTTATTTAGTACTTATCCTTAACGTAATATGGGGTTTGCTCAACTGAAACCAATACAATACGCCAACTTACGGAAAATCTTGTAGGCCCAAATGGAATTTAAAGTCATTTATGTAAACTAAAAAATGACGTTATTGATTATTTTTTATTCCAGGCGGAGCAATAGGAAAAAAATTATACCGCTTTTATATAATAAATTTTTTTAAATAGATTTAAACAATTGTGTGACATTCTAGTTTTGAAAATATAGGTAAAAGGGAAAGTTTTACTGAATCGTTGAAAAGATTCAATTATAGGTGATATTGGTCCTCGGCAAGTGGGACAATGAGCTGTGTTGCTTTTTTGGACTTGTTGAATGCAGGGCTGACAAAACAAAAAATGTCTGCAAGGCATTACTAATGCATTTTGTTTATTGACGGTACAAACAACGCACTTCGGTGACTCTGTTGAAGTAGAAGTTGGCAAAGGAAGACTCTCACCAACCTCGTTCATTGAGTTTTCATCCAAAGCACTAAAAATATTTAAAAACTTCAAATACAATTTTCCATATTTCATGGAAAATAACAGATTATCAAATAAAGTTAAACTAATTAGTTTGGTAAAAAATTTGATAAAGGTTAATGAATAAGAAGTGTTATACAAAATCTTGGAAAACTATCTTACACTACTTTGAAGTTTTGAAAGAGATATGATACTGTTGATAGGAATCTCTCAGTTGTCCAAACTCCGTCTCGAAGTTTTTTCTCAAAACAACGCATTTTTTCAATTACACCATAGTCGCGTTGGTCACGGCGGACTGGCTGATTGCAGGCAAGCTGTTGAAGCTCTTGAATTGTATGGACTATTACATGCTGGTTAAGCAATTTCATAAACTGCCAAAATCCTCTATGTCGATCACCCATGTTTGATTTCAAACGTCTATTGAGACTCTCTGCATTGTTATTGGTTTTGTGGTTCAACCCATAAACACTAAATCCTTCTGGGGTCACTATATTGAGCCAATAACTCTCAAAATACTTTTAAAAGCAAATAGTTTGATTTTGATTTCGCGACTAAATTGTGCAATCTCAATAACTCGAGATCCCCAAGCAACCAAGAACTTGTTTGCAGGAAGGAGACAAAGTGCTGAAACTTTTCTTGCCCACTTCTTTACTTGAATTTGGTGGCGGTATTCCCTCTGAAGACCAAGAATCGCTAATTGCTTGGTGATTGCATTTTCGAAATGAAACCTAAAGATAAGGGTTTAAAGGAGATCATTAATTGATAACAAACTCTGAAAAACTTGGATAACTCAGAAACTGGAAACTAAGTAATAACAAAGTAATAACTTTTACCTGCAACCATTCACCAAGCTTTCACTCCAAGTTGTTTTTAAAGCATTCTGTAGTCCTCGTTCAAAATCTGACATAATGGTGACTGGAGAGAAATCTAAAACTTCTTTTATTTTGGAAAAAACAAGCTTGTATAGAGCCTCGGATTTTGATGTCATTAAAGCGCATACAGCTGGAACAGATATTCCCCAAAGGTGAGGGTTATCAGGATCAAAATTCATCTGATCCTCATCTGGAATTGGATCTTCAAGTACTGCTGAATACTCAACAGAAAATATCAAGAGCTGATACCACTTACTTTCCTCCATGCGTGGTGTCATGCTGGAAGTACAGTGAATGTAACTATAATTTACAACTGTAAATAAAAGTGTTCTACCTAACGTTTTTAATATACCACTTTTTTCGTCTACGGGCTGTCCATTAATAACGTTAAAAAAATAAGGAAGAAGGTGTCTACATTTTTTTGAAAATTTTTGCTAAGGGTGAGGGGAGGAGGTCAAGTAAAGTTGACATCAACAATGTTGCTTTATTTTTTTAATTTCGTTACTCAAAAAAAGAAAAATTTGCCTGCGTTTTTAGCGCAGCGTCTTCATTTAGGGGAGAAGGGTTATCAAAAATTGACGTAACTTTATAGGAGAAAGAAGTGTCTCTGGAAATTTAACAAATTGTTGACATGGAAGAGGGGGTAATGTAAAAATAGCCAAAAGTTTGTTGATGTAATTAATGGACAGCCCCCTAGATAAATATATGTTCTTCTAGAACATATATTTTTTGGAAAAAGTTAAATGCATACGTATAAATACCTAAATGTTCCATCAACAAAACACACTTTGGCCGATTTCGCCTTGTTGATGACTAGCATATGCCCAAACAGCAATGATACGTTATCCTGTTCTGCAACTGATCCCAAGAAAATGTCTCCATAGCGATGGCACTCTTTGTCGTTCAGAACTTGAGTTTCTTAAAAGTTTCTTAAATTTTAAGTTTTAATTTGAATAGAATTTTATTGCTCGTGCAAATTAAACTGTTTATTGCGCCTGCAAATTAACTGTTCATTTAAACTGCTGTTCTCCATTGTAGGTATTGCTAACTTTGTTAAGCTGATGCGCTATTAGGGTAAAAAGTTAGGAAATATTCATCGAACTCTTAAATAAGTTTCTTTTTGAAAAGTGACTTAGTATTAAAAATTCTTAAGATTTTCTCCTAGTACTAGTTTTTTATAAAATAAAAGTGTGATCATAAAGTCATATTTTTGATGTTAATCATTAAAAAGAATTTTTGACAATTAAAAATTTTCGATCTTATTCCGTTTTTATTGTTTTCGACATTAACCAGAAAATCTTATTTTTAATGTTAATCATTAAAATGAGTTTTCGATCTTATTCTGTTTTTATTGTTTTCGATATTAATCGGAAAATCACGTTTTCGATCTTAATCATTAAAATGAATTTTCGATCTTATTCTGATTTTATTGTTTTCGACATTAATAAGAAAATCTTATTTTCGATGTTAATCCTAAAAATGAGTTTTCGATCTTATTCCTTTTTTATTGTTTTCGATATTGTTCCACATTTGTGAATTTCGATATAAAAACTTTTCGACATTAATCAGAAAATCACATTTTCGATGTTAATCAGTTAAATGAGTTTTCGATCTTATTCCGTTTTTATTGTTTTCGATATTGTTCCAAATTTGTGAATTTCGATATAAAAACTTTTCGATATTAATCTGAAAATCACATTTTCGATCTTAATCATTAAAATGAGTTTCGGTCAGTTATTTTTCGATACTAATCATTTTTTCGATCAGTTAATTTTCGATACTATTCCGCTTTCCCAATAAAAATTTTTGGCTTGCTTTTTAATTAACTAAACATTTAAAACAAGTATGTTTAATTTTTATGTTTTTTTTTGAAACAAAGTTCGTTGAATATTTAGTGATAGCTTGTTTACTCTAAACCAATTATTTATTTTATTTAACATTTACATCCGTATACAGTCGCCTAATATTTTTATTGTTAAGAAATAGATTTGTTTTGTCAACAAACTTTTTTGAATTCAGTTTTAATGAAACAATATAAAATTTGGTAAAATAAGTTAAGAATACTAGCGATCGATCCTTGAGGAACTTTGCATAAGACATTTAGTATTCCGGATTGCACATTATGCACGTATTGTCTATATTTTAGGAGATAACTTTTAATTCTGTCATATGTTGTATTCGAATGTCTTAGTTTGAATGATTTATTTTATCTAGGACAATACAATGATCAATTGTGACGAATGTCTTTATTTAATAAATATTCCTAAAATAAATTGGTTTTTGACAAAACTATCAGTTATTTGGTTGACTATTTCAATAATTCAAAGTTCAGTCAAATGGTTTTTCCGATTTGTTTTAGGTAAAATAAGTTGCGTTCAAACAGTTTTAAAAATACAGAAAGTAATGATATTTGTCTAGAATATACCATTTCCAAATGATTATTCCATTTGTAAACTGGAATCATTTTAGCTAATTTAAGACCATCAGGGAAAATACTATACTTTAATGATAGTTTCAGTATATGAAACAGAAGCCTGCTTGAGCGTCATTTTGGGCTTTTAAGTATATTTTAAATAATTCTAATGTTTTATTATTCTAAAAGCAACTTTTTAACTAACATTTGCAAAATGTTGAACTCTTGAGATTTCTTTTTATTAGAATGTATCAATCTTGTCGATATTAATTCTCTTAGATAGTGAAGAGGGGTTGTCCATTAATTACATCAACAAAATTGAAGGGAGGGGGGGGGGTTGAACCTTTTTGACAATTGTTGACAAAGGGTCAAAAATTTGTAGCGTAGCTTCTTTGTATAGGCGGTGGGGGGGGGGGGGGTAATCAAAAATTGATGTAATTTTATAGGGGGGTCTCTGGAAATTTGACAAATTCTTGACATGGAGAGGGGGGTAGGTAAAAACTTTAAAAAATTTGTTGACGTAATTAATGAACAGCCCCAGACGGTTTTATTTTATATTTTCCCATTATGTCATCAACTAATACATGTTTGTTTAATATTAGATTTGCTTTTTGAAATTAGCTCACTTTAACACATTTTTTCCTTTCCAAATATGAAGCGAACTTCTTACGTTTATAAGTTTATACTTATAATACATTATTGTTATACTTGTCATAATTTTTGAACGCAAAGATATCATTTACTTTATTTACATATTCTTCGTAAGACTTTATTTTTTCATTGCATACGTCACCAAAAAAGTAGAGAAATGTAGAAGCAATTTTTTGCTAACTTTATAACAAAAAAACAAACGGCAAATGATTAAATATTGATGAAATTTCTCTGACAAAAGCAAACAAAATACAATTAAAAACAAGGTTTTCTTTTAACTCTCTAGTGACTCAAACTAATGTTTTAAAGAATTTAATGGTCAATTTGAAGATAAAGAGCATAATGGTTTACTTTTTTTTGGACAGCCCAACAACACCGAATTTCTGTTTATAATGTTTATTATTATTAGATTTTTATTACATTATTATTTATGTATTATTATTTATTACATTTATTCCACGGTTACATGTTTGACCACAAAACAGTCTAATCATCCAATCTTGTAGACTTAAAGCTAGTAATAGGATCATATTTGATTTACTATTGTTTAAAAACAAATGACTGTTTATGTAACATAAAAGGTCAAATTGTATTAAAATCACCATTTCGCAATTAAAACTTATTTGTGTTGCTTTGGTGTCCCCTAGCTGGTGCCTCAGAAGGCAACGAAAACCGCGCTCTTTTGTAATTAAGTCTTGAATTTATGACAAAATTAGAGCGATTTTGAACGACTAGCAACAATGCAAATTTGAGCCAATAAAATTGGCAATTAAGCAACCATTATTTTCTAAACGAGTATAAACGAGTGTTACATAACAATGACGAAAGTAACATTAAATTGAAGGCTTAGTAATTTATCAAAAAGTCATTAATTACTAATAATTATATTTTTTATAACCAATCGCAGTTATTTTGTTTTATAAAGCGCAATTACCTACGTCACTCAATAAGCAATACAGAAGTCAAATATAACATATTATATAAATCAAATAAACGTACAATATAATATACATAGTATATTATTTAGCAATATACTAGAATAACTATATTATAAATTGAAAACTTGAGTTTTTTGGAGTAACTGCTTTCCTAAATTTAAGGTATTGCTAATTTTTCTTTCAGTTGTTTATCTTGTATTTTAGTTATTTTTTTAAATACTAATAAATCTAAAATAATATTATAAAATTAGTAACATTTTATATAACTATTTAAGGTATTGCTAATTTTTCTTTAAGTTGTTTATCTTGTATTTTAGTTATTTTTTTAAATACTAATAAATCTAAAATAATATTATAAAATTAGTAACATTTTATATAACTACAATTTTAAATATTATTATAAATACTGATCAAATAAAAACATTGTTAAAATTTTTTTAATGCAAATGTTTAAAAACTCTATTTAATCATTTATATGATTAAATAGAGTTTTTAAACATTTATCAAATATACGTTGTTGTTTTTTTAATGCATTATATTTAAAAATTTAAATTATAATGCATTAAAAAAACAACAACGTATATTTGTAATATTTTTCTGAAACATTTTTACAGTAAAACAATCCATTGAAATAGACGTAATATAGTATACTATCTGTCAGGACCTAAAGCTTATAAAATGAATAATTGTTAATTGTGGTATCAAGAAATGCCTAATAGCTTAGTATATATCTTATACTGCTGAGTTAGGTGAGCATGATGATGTCATACTCACCTAATGTCAAATAGCCTGCTACCGAGGGCTTCAGTACATATATCGACCGACAAATAGCCTGACTCGCAGTGGAGTGCTGCTACATCGACTGATGGTTTGGTATGGGTCAGCAACCTTTTCATTCATTATTCTTTGTTTTCCCTCATCGTTTTCTAAAAACGCTCACTTAATTTAGGCTAGCAAAAAAAGTGAGCAATTGCGCATATAAATATGCTATAGTAGATATATATATAAGCTGAAAGAATTCCATTAATGATACATAATAACCCTAACATGCATTTGTAGTATATACTTAATTCAAATATAAGCAGCCTTAATGCAATGGTCAAATTTTCTGACTCAGAATCAAGAGGTGTGTGGTTTGTTGCCGGCTCTATCCAGATAAGCATTGGTAATGAAGAAGGCATAAACTTTCTGGTTAAATTCTCTTCCGCGGTGCTCTGTGATAAGATTGTAAGAAGCACAATAAATACCATATTAAAAAAAAAGAATAACAATCAAAAAAATTATTTTACAAACGAAAAAGGTTTTTTTGTTTTTGTTTTGAAGTACCATAGAATAGCTGCATTATTGAAGAATGTTTCATGATAATTAACAATCAAAATTAAAAGTAAATTTGTGAACAAAATGTAGGAGAAGGTTACCTATGTTCAGCATTTTAACAGTGTTGCATGTTAACAGTATTGGTTTTTTGCAGCCTAAATATTATAATATTGATATTTATCTTTGCATATTTTCATAATTTAATCTTTCCGCTTAAAGATTAAAAAAATTTATTTAAAAAACAGCGTTATTTTTAACACACATAATCATCTCATTATAAAAAAAAGTTTCTCTAAAAAAGTTAATGATACTATTTTTTGAAAAAACTTTCGCTCTTGAAATACCAAAATAAACCTTCGGAGAGAATAATTTTAGAAAAACGCGCTTTTTTTAATAAAAAGCCGTCAGGGTTAGGTTTTTTTTTAATAAAAATCGTATCTTGAGCGTCTAAAAAACATATCATCTTAAGTAACTTCTCCAAGTACTATCATAATTTAAATAGCATGACAACAGCTTATGTATAATCTTATATAACCCATAGAATTAGTTGTAGAGAAGGATAAAATGTTGAAGATTAAATAAATTTTTGATGATCTTGTTTCGCTCTGACGAAATTACAAAATATTGAATAATAAAACATTATAACGGGGATGGTAAATATTTTTAACTGTAAAACAATCAAAGAATATTAACTATACAACCAAGAAATTAAAATAGGTAACACCGTTGAGCTTGTACGAATATTCTTAACCAAAAAAGTTTGCGAAAAATCATTAGTCTACCCGTAAAATAGGTTATACCATCTAAGGAACCTGCTCATCTTACGCAACCTTCCTCTAATTTAAAAAAAACAAAACTATCACAAATCTTCCATTTCAAAATTTATAAAAACAAAAATGATTTCATTTTGAATTTGATAAAAAACTTATTAAATTTATATAATTTTACCAATTGATGATGTTAAAGAGATCTTAAAGATTTACATACCTTTAAGGTGGTAGTACCCTTTAAGGTGGTAGTACCCTTTAAGGTGGTAGTACCCTTTAAGAGCAAATAAATTTATTACTTGATATTATATGGGGACATTTGTTTTTCTGAAGTTTTAAATTTAATCATTTCAAAAAATTACAAAATTAACTTTTTATACCCCTTTCTCAACAATTATGCGCATGAATTAGCAAAATTTAGGCAAAAAAAATGGACCTTTTTTTAACAAGAATATCTTGAGAACCATACATGTTCTACAAACCAAATTTTATAAGTGCCTTTATATATGTTCAAAAATGTACTGAACTAAAAATTATACAATAAACATCATTTAATAAGTTTAAAATCATTTAATTCTATCTCTAAAATGAAAAAAGTATAATCTTTTTTCTTTTTAATGATAGAATTTACAGCTTGCTAAAATTCAAATTTTGATATTTTAATATAATAAAAAGTTAATTTGCTTTAGTTCATGAACAATAGATGAAAATTTGAAAAAACTTCAATGAGCGGTTAAAAAGTTATATTGGTTAACAAATTAAGAGACACAAAAAGTTAATCGCTAGAAAAACCAATTTAAAAAATTACTAAAAGTACATTAAGTTTTTTACACAATCAAACCTACTAAAAACCACCACTGTTGTATGCAATACATTCTACTTGGTTATGTTGGTCTATTAAGCCTTTTTTATCAACTCTTAGCTTTTTCCATCTGTTTTTTGTGGCACTGTACTTTTTATCTCATTCTGTTTAACATGTACATAGTCTACATTTAGAGAACTTTTTGTTGTAAAATATCCAGGCACAATATTACTTTTTTCAAACACTGGTAATAAACCCTGAAGTCCATTAATGAAACTAATTATTGCAGAGACCAAAGCAATCTCAACAACTTTCCACATAAACTCTTTTGGGTGTACGAGTCCAAACCATCCCATTTAGAGATTCATTTACATTTTGAGTTTGGCTATTTATCACTGCCAAGATCCTTTTCTTAATAATTTCTTCTGTATATAGATTCCCATCACAAACTTGCATGTAAGACTTGGTATCTCCATCTCCAATGTATGTTATGTACTTCAGGCTTGGTCGGGAATGGTCGGGATGTTATGTACTTCAGGCTTGGTCAGGCTCGATCGCTCGAATACTGACCACGGAAGTTATATTTAGTTGCGTAAAACTGGCCAGGGTTTTTAGTCGTTTCGAGAACATTTAAGTTTATGTACGAAACAAAAAAATTTTGTTTTACAGACATACATGGAAACATAAAAATCTTGAATGTTCTCAAAACATCTTTGTGCGAAAGAATAAAAAGAATATTTGCGAACACTAAAAACCCGCCAAATTAACGAACAAACTAATTCTATTGGTTCAAAAAATACGCTGATTAAGCGAAATAAAGTTCTATAAAATGTTTTAGAAATTGTGTAATACACGATTTGTTACGTTTTAAGATTTCTAGCATCGTTTTAAGAATATATATTATTTGTTTACGAAAATAAATGTTTTAAATATATATTGATTAAATTGTTAAAATTTTAAAATTTTATTATAAATCATAGATTTTATTAGTTTTCTTATTTTTTATTTTAAAAGAGATTGTATTCTTTATGTAAATGAAATTTTGTGTATTTGTTTTTTATCGTAATGTATCTTTTAAAGCAATTTTTATGATTTAAACAAAGACTTACAAAAATAATTGCGTTTTCAATGAAGTTATAATCGTTAAAGTTAATAAAACTAATTATGTAACAAACATATAAGTAGTTTCTGGTTACTAAACACAAACAACGCATACAAAGTAACTCGCGGATGAACAAGCATCGCGCCTAAGGACACGACAGAACACAAATATATATAGCAAATAATTAGATATAAAGAAAAGTTTCTAGATATTGGTTTACTTACTCTAATTATTTTCGCTTAAGTTGCCATTCTTAAAACTCGTTATACTTTTTTCTGCTTTAAATACTAATTAAAATTAAAAAGCCCACTCACTAAACATCATCAGCAATATTGTGAAGCAGTTTCGCTTCCTTGTCATAAAGTATTTTTAACCTTTTTAGTTGATTTCTATCTTGATAATTTAGTTCCTATAGTAATTCAATGATTTAATTATTTCATTTGTTTATTTTACTAAGAAGAATCGCTTCAAATATGTTAAACTTTTCAAACTACGCGAAACATAAAATAGGTATTAAAAAAATTAACTCTTTTATTTATAAAATAATTTAGCTTAAGTAAAACTAAAACTTGCAAACTTAGTTAAATAAAGAATATTTATTTCCCTTTTAAACAATCGTAAGTTGTTACTTTATATAAAAAACATCGCTTAATTTTATTTTTTTTGTAATTGTCTCTCATCGGTCCAATTAATCTTCGTCCCTTTTTTTTTTTTTTTGCTTTTAAAAATGTTCTCAAAACGACTAAAAATCTGGCCAGCTTTTCGCAACTAAATATTATTTATGTGGTCTGATCAATTGAATATTTGTAGAGTCCCTACAGATTCCATACTTCCTGAGCTACCCTTACGATTAATCTTGCAGTTATGTGTGATCCTCCAGTTCTTGTTAGCTGGAGTACCTTTTCTTCTTGACCATATCTTGCAGGGGAAACAACTTTTTAGTCTGGACAGCAGCATCAACACACATTCCATAAGATATTGCTGTGACTTTACTATTCATTAAGGAGTAATCTCTGAGCTGTCAAGAACTAACTAGCAGCCACATTGACAATTCATTATAATTTGCAACAAGTTTTTCCCAAAGTATGTCCTCTGAGGCTTTTTTGAACTCTCTCTAGAAGTTTCAATGTAAGCAACATAAAGTTTATTATTAACATTATGGCATCCATTTTTA